TCCGAATGGATGAAAACACTGCAGATTTAAAAGTAGTCGATGCATTGAACGCTGGTGGAAGTAAAGTAAAGGCAAGGCTTGGTTTCACTTGGTACTTTCCAAGGGATGAATGGCGCACTATTTGTTCATACAGCTACGTAAGCGTTGTCTGCGTATTACATCAGATATAGGCTTGCCTGCAATAGATGTCTGGGCAACTTCACTCATGTTGAACATTGCTGGTTGGGCAATGATGCGTTTCAAAACTATCAACGTTGTTCTATGCAATTCGATCTCGGGAATATTATTTCCACAAGAAATAATAACATGGCTGCCAATTCCTGATCAACAGCTTTGAACTACTGCTTCATAATCATTATCCGAAACTAAAAAAAAATTTATTAAATCGAGTTTGTGTTACGAATAATGTGTGGCACACATAACCATAAATATTCTTATTTTGGCGGAAAAGTTAATTGTTGAGCTCTAAGTAAATGCAGTTGTTTTCCTATGTTATTATCTTCGTTTAATAGTACTAATAATCTTAATAAATTTGTTGAATACTTTGGAAAACATTTATTTTACAAATTTTTCTTCTTTGTTGAAATTAATGGAAAACATTTTGAAAATACGGCACACTTTCTGGCTTAAACACTTAATAAAAGTACCATGATATTTTTAAATAAGTTCTTTTTAAAATTCTACTGGGATTTCGTTGGCCTTTATCACGCATCCTTCTCGCAAATGCAAAGTCATAAAAAGGAAATAATCATTAAAAACTGATACTGTAGCAATGGCAGATCACTCGTATCTGGAAGATAGGAGCTTTAATCTTGAAAATGGTCTACGTCCAAGTTTCCGTTTTATATAATTGTTGCTCCAAAACAGCTGAAGCGATTTTCGGCCGAGCCCCTACTACAGGTTCTCTTGATGTTTACAGTCTGATTTTTAAGAGGAGATTTATATCTATATCACAAATATACTCGTGGGCTTGACATTCCCTAACCAGGGACGAACGTAACTAAAAAAATTAATTTGCAATAAATTTGAAGGCTTTGATTGAACCAGGACTCGAACTTAGTTTACAGAACTGCAGTACGCAATGCTAACCACTTGGCTACCGCTGCCGCCGCCTCCGCTTTATGGTAAAAAAAATATCGAGGACAGTGTTATTTTATTTAATACTAGAATTTACACGCGACTTCGTCAACGTGGAATTTAAGATGGTTCTAATAAGTTTTTTTTTAAGTTTTTACGTTGTTTCTTTTACTTGTTGTTTACTTATAAACTATTATTTTAGTGTAGGTAGCGTAGTAAATCAAACAATTTAAAAGTAAATTCGTTTTTTTTTTTTCGAATAGACCGGTCCCTGATTTCCTTCACGTCAGAAAAAGTGTTCTCAAAGGTGTTTTAGCACAAATAATTCGAATAGATCGGTCCCAGGGACCACTTTCCGAAAGATAACTGTTATCGGGTACATATGACATAATCTGCGGGTTGATCCGTCAATCATTCAGGACACCGCCCTTTATATAAATATATAAATAAGAAATAAATATTCTTATTGAGATTGTAATTAACAGCGATCCCCATTTACTGGAAAGCTCATTCTACTCTCGAGTGCGGACATAGTCACAATATTTGAAATGTGTTTTTGATAGTACCAACATGAGCACCTTTGAGGGACGGTTTATTATCAATTTCATTTCGCGTGAAGCACTTTGCAACAAAAAGCCCCCCGTTTCCCTTAAGTTAATGCTTTGAGATAATCGTTCTATTCGAAAATATCGAGGAAATTAATACAGAGTTGTCAGACACACGAATAAGAAATTTGCTAGCGCAAAATTGAAAAAATGTAATTGAACAGACCTCGTTTTGCTAACCTTAAGGGCACACATAAAACACATACTTCTGTGTCAAAGAATCTTGGAGGCTCGTTGGGCAGTTCCAGCGAAAGAACTAAAATTTCAGCATCCACCACAAAAAAATACTTATACGAGTCTGGAATATCTAAAGGATTGGAGGTGTCTCATAAAATGCGTCGGGCAACTTTCACAAATTTGTTTAAATATAACGGTATATTAAATAAAAAAAAAACAATGAAAACGTTCATAGCGTTCGCGTGATCAACGGCAGCGGTCGTACATAGTCGAAAAGACCTATTTGATATATTAGAGAAATGAAGCACTAATTACGTAATAATCATTATGTTTAGAATTAAAAAAGTCGGAAATAAGTAACTTAAATTCAGAAAAAGCAACTATAAAATCAAACAACATTATTCAATAATATAATTATGAACGAAAACATATTTAGCGCGGTCGATTTGATGCCGCGCGACCGCTTGAAGGTTAATAATAATGGTTGAAGGTATATCGTATATCAAATATTCTCAAAGTTTTTGTCGTTACATAATAATGCGTACAAACTTTTTAACGAAATTACCAGAAATTGACTGATTTTGAAAACAAGTAGAAATTATCTTAATAAGTTTGTATATAACAGTTTTCTTTTGCATCCGAAAGTAAAAGAACTGTTAACCAGAAAATATTTGCTTTTGATGTAAACAGTAAACAGTAAAATTCGCCTAGGGATTTATATGAAAATCTGAAATGAAAAAGTGCTATTTTGCTGAAATACAAACTCCACTCAAATACATGCAACGCGAACATGTTTGATACAGACGTATGGAACGAACCACTCAAAAATGCAATAGGGCCCCTAAAATGAATAAGCGTGCAAAGTGCTCAAACAACTTAATAGTTGTGCAGAATATGATTTCCGTTCATTCACTATTGAGTTAAACGAACATAGTTGCAGCTCAAACTATCAACGAAGGAGGCGGCCACAAGCAGCCAAACAACAACTTCGATAATGGTTCACGTTTGGGCCATATGAAGTATTCACCGCACCACACTCACAGCAGCGAAACTTGAACAGGAGGCGTTGAGTGAGAGTCGAAAGTAAATATTGCCATTTCAGTTACTATTTTCTACTCAGCGTGTATTCGCTTGTTATTTTTGTACGGTTATGGTTTTTAGCCTTGATTATACTAAATGCCGTCGCTGAGACAGCCAAGCGAGTTAAATATCAATGAAATTATTAGCAGAAATAAAAATTAAAAAAGTTGTTTTTTTTTTATTTAATTTAATCCAGTTGGTAACTACACTCATACATACATATGTTTTGATTAAGGTTTCTAAATGAATATGCCATGCTGCAAATTAGTTATTACGTTTGCGGTCAATATTCTTATCAGTAGCCAAAATGAAGTCAACTGATAACATTCTGCAACAATTTCAAATGAGTATCGAAGTTTAGTGTTTCAAGTGTACATTTGGGTTGGTTTTAACCATATAAACATACATTATACGAATGAACTGAAGTATAATGTGCTCAATGCTCTCGGAATTTATGTGCAGATGCTGTAGTAGAAGTCACTGTTCTTTTGCCATTGCAAACTAAATTCTCATTTGACCATATTTTTGCCTCGCTGCATTTGTGGTAAGTTTGAAAGTTATAACTTTGCGCTCAACCCCATGTATCATCCGTAACACAAATTGCCACGCACTGCGTCGATCTGATCCGCTCCGCGCTCGGTTCAGTTCTGCTCTGCTCAGTTTTGGTTTGCTCCCGTTGAACCGTTGGTAGCGGTTGTGAGGTATTGATAGTCATTTGTCTCTTCGTTGGTGGTGGTGCTGGTGGTGGTGGCGGCGGCGGCGTTTTGCCTTTCTTTTCCTCATCATCATTTCGTTGGGGGAAAACGAAAACAGAGCAACCACAACAGAGCGGCAGAGTAGTTCAACAACAGCACAACAGAGAACGAGTTTCTCACTGTGCTCGCTCATCGCCGTCGTCATCGTCGTCGTCGTCGCTGTGGCAATTGTCGTTATGATTCAGGCCGTTTCATCGCTTTCATCGTGGTAGTCGTTGTTGGGAACATTGTGAACGTAATCGACGTCAGTCAAAATACAACAAACTGGCGTTTTGATGGCGCATTCGTTCGATGGCAACGGTTTGGATTGGAGCAGCAGGCGCGCGCATTGTTTTATTATCCACTTTATCACCATTTATTGTTATTGCCATTGTGGTCTTTGAACGCTCGATTCTCCGCTTGGTGCAATTTTCTGAAGCTACACACTGTTGTACTGGAACTATTCTAGTTTGTTTTGAATGAAGCATAAAAAAGAACAGTATCAACAAAAAGAAACAAAAAAAAACAACGACACTGACAGTGACAGCGTAAACAGCAACGGTGGCAGCGTTTTAATGCCACTGACGGCGCTTTGATACGTTGAATACATTCGCTATCGGATCGCTATCACATCACTATCGCAAGGCAGCGCGGCATATCAAACCGCGACGGTGCTCAGTGTACAAGTGATGCAGTGCAGTAAAGTTAAATTGGAGTAGCATAGAATCGCGGCAGCAGTGGCTACAGCAACAGTCGTCTGGCAGTCATGCAGTGAGTTAGACAATTGTTCAGTAATTCAGTTATTCAGTGCTGCAGCAGTGGTCGTAACGTAATCGCGGTTTGGTGACTCGAACGCTAATAAATTTGATTATTATTATTATTGTCGCTATTACTATCATTTTAACGATTATTGTGTTGATTGTCGTTGTTATTCGTAGTATTGTGGTGATGACGTCTTCATGAGCTATGGTGTGGTCGATAGTTTTCGGCAAAACATAAATTGCTGAATTAATTGTCAAATATTTACAAACGAAATTAAATAAAAAAAAACTATATAAAAAGTTCAAAGTCGGCGTTGGATAATTTTAAATATTTTGAAAATTATCAATTTTTCAAAGGCAAAAAATAAATAAAGTGAAATTTTTAGCCCAAAAATTAGAGTCATTTACAGCAATAAAAGTGGAATTCAAAAATTTTTAAAGTGAGAAATACAAAAAAATTTATATGCACACAAATAAAAAGCATTACGTACTTAATACAACAAAACTTAAAAGAGATTTTAAATTATTTTCAAAATAAATACATAAAATTCTGCGATTCACACGAAATTTGTTTAAAAAAATAAACATAAAAAAATAATCAGCAATACTAATTTTATTTCATAAGTGTTTTTGGACAGCAAAAGTTTTCACTTAAAATCCGTCAATAAATAATATTATAAATAAAACAATAGATATATACATATGTATATATTACATATAATATTTTTTCAGCGGTAATGCTAATAAATATCAGATAAAATATTTAAATATAAATATACAATACAGTGAAGCCCGAACTTATACTTTATATACGTTGGCCTAGTGCTCCAAATAAATAAACAGAATACGCGGACGGTTCAACTTGTGTTAAAGATGACAGTGCAGTTTTAAAAGTTATTATTTAGAACCGCAAAAACTAAAAAAAAAATATTTTTCAAAAAAAAAATTTTGTTCAGCATAAAGCTAGTGCGCCCACTTGCTATAGTCAATAACAATACAAGTTAAGAGAAGTTAATTACCGAGGTGCAACATTACAACCGCCAAAATTCTTACCACTTGCAATATGAATTCCTACTTTGAACAAGCTTCGGCGGGCTTCTACGGCCACCCGCATCAAACAAGCGGCATGTCAATGGGCACTGGTGGTCACCACGATCAGACAGCGACAGCGGCTGCAGCGGCCTACCGAGGATTCCCGCTTTCTTTGGGCATGTCACCCTATGCCAATCACCACTTACAACGCACCACACAGGACTCGCCCTACGATGCAAGTATAACAGCAGCTTGTAATAAAATTTACAGTGACGGTCCATACAAACAAGATTGTCTGAATATCAAGGCAGATTCTGTGGTCAATGGCTACAAAGATATTTGGAATACCAGCGCGAATGGCACGGGCGGCGGTGGTGGTTCCGGTGGTGGTGGTGGATCTGGAGGCGGTTCGAATGGATCAAACACTAATGGACAGAACAATCCCACGGGTGGCATGCCAGTGCGACCATCAGCATGTACCCCCGACTCGCGTGTTGGTGGGTACTTGGACACTTCTGGTGGTAGTCCCGTAAGCCATCGGGGTGGTAGTGGTGGCGGGAGTGGCGGAGCTGGTGGTGGAGTCGTTGGTGGTGGTGTTCAAGGTGGTGGCGGTGGAGTCGGAGGCGTTGGTGGTGTTGGTGTTGGCGGTGGAGTGTCCGGCGTTGGCGGTGCAGGTACCGCCTGGAATGCGAATTGCACAATATCGGGCGCTGCAGCGGCTCAGAGTGCTAGCAGCTTGCATCAAGCCACCAATCACACATTCTATCCATGGATGGCTATAGCAGGTCAGTTCAAAGAATTTAGCATTTATGAGATCTATATATATACATATATTAGGAAGTTTATATGAACTTTATTCAGGCTTTAAGGAAACATCAGCCTGTAAAAAATAAATGCGAATATAAAACAATAGATGAAAATCATATGGTGAAAAGTTATAGTATATTAGAAGAAGAAGAAGAATAGTCTTATCAATATAATCTGCCAAAAATATACGGACCATTTAATTTAGATTCAAGTAATCAACAAATTCTTGTTGTTATTCTCTCAATTGTACAAATCATTATCGTGTAGCCTCAAATTTAAATTACTGAAAAAATATAATTTGATTTATTGCTTTTAATCAGTGAATTAATATGCATTCTCCAATGCTTAATAAGCACATAAATAAGAATTTATTTTTTATTTTGTTATTGATTATTTTTAGAAATCTGAAAATTATACACAACAATGTTTGTATTAATTTGCCTTGTTTAGCCGCAAATAATAATTTACCTAATCGACTACATTTTTAGTATAGGCGTCCTTAAGTTCTATTAGTCCCACATGCTGTTTAAAAACAAATATTACGGATATACACGTCTTGTGTTCATATATACATAGAAATAGCTCAAAAATATGTGGGTCCATTTGTAGAAGTATTTTTTTAGCATATTTTTTTTTAGCTGGGATGCATTGTAGGGAACTGTTATACACAATTTTCTACAAAAATAGATAATAAAACTGTCACCAACGACATGCAGTTTCAACAAGCAATATACTTGTACAACAACACAACTGTAATACTGCACAGCCAAATTAAAACAATCAAATGTAGCAACAGTGCGAGCTATTAGGTACACCGGCGGCAGTCAGCCTGCATCAAAGCCACCAGCCAAGTATCATCAAAATACTAACTTTCAACCATTCTGCAGTAACTGGTTGCATTAAAAATTTAGGAGTTTTTGCCACAGGAAAGGAGTGAATTTAGTACGCTGTGCAAGGACTCGCACACTGAGTAAACTCTCATGTAGAGAGGCTACATTTTCATACATACATACATATGTGGTATAAGAAGCAACTACACTTCGTCTATTACTCCTAACAGCGAAGCATTATGTAATTATTGTTGTTTTACCACACAGCAGTAGATAGTAGATTTGCTTGCATTTATGATATTACCGTGCAAATTAGACAAGTGCTTTAGTTTATGTCATGCAGTGAAGAAAAGTAACTCATATTTGAAAGTGACTGCTGAAAGTCTACTCTTAGTTAAAAGGCTGCTTTACAAAAAAAAAAAATAAGAGTTTACTTAGTTTACTTAGCGGGTATCAATTTCAAAAAGGAATTGTCGAAAAAAGCAGCTCAATGAACCGGCGGAATATTACGAAATCTAAATTGTGTCGTACATAGTAATTTTTATAATTCAAAATAAAAGCGCTTATTGTATAAGGAAATAAAACCGTAATTATGCCAATTATGAAAGTTATCAGTTAACCTTTTATTTATTGAATGCACGAAAGCTGCTTAGATTTTTTTTTCAAATAAATATGTATGGTTAATGTATACATATGTGCATATATACTATTGTATATATTTTCCTTTAGTTATATTGATTTCTATTTGTCGGCGCTTTGTGTTCTTTTAACTTCCGACAACACTAATACTAATTTAAAAATATCAATATTATGAATGCTTACATATGTACATACATATGCATGCATACTACATATATGTATATGCACATAGATAAAGGAATATTCACATTTGATGTCGAGCAAGTCGAGCATCATTGGATCAAATTTATTTGGAATATACACAATAGTTCACTACCGAGGACCTTATCGGGGAAATTAATATAAACTAAAACTCAAAATTTTTTGACTTATGAATTTTAAAAATACGTATTTGCTATTACAGGCGAAATATTTTATTCTGATTGGGATAATTATGAAATATAATCCAAAATATTCTATATAAAAATGAAAGATGAGGGTTTTCGCCTGAAAAATTTATATTTTCAAAAATTGTTTTTTATATGAAGAATAAATGTTTTTAATTTTTTGTTTAAACTATTTATTGTGTCAAAGATATGTAGTAGTATATATTTGGAAAAGAATTTCTGAAAGTTTCGAAATATTTTTATCTCCGCTATTGTAACGTCATTCTCGATAAACCGTAAGAAAAAATTTGTATCTACGTTGATGGTATATTTTTTTTTATTTTGGTAAAACTTTTTTCAATTAGTTGTGATTTAAAAAAAAACAAAAAAAAAAACAAAACAAAAAAAAAAAAATACCGTCGAACAATTGCTCATGAATTGTAACTTAAGGATCTCTGTAAAATTTCATGTAGATCCGATGAGTAGTTTTCGAGAACTATTGACAACTGACTTTGAAAACTCAAATTCAAATTCGTGAAAAACCTGTTTTTAAGCAAGCATCTTCTCAACGCCGTGTCTCCGAATCATTTACTCAGACTGACTTAATAATTGGGAAAACTATTTTCGAGTTGTTTTAAAAATTAATAATACAAAAAAAAAACGCTATAAAACATATGCCTTTAAGTAGAAATTAGATCACGATTATCCCGATGTGCCACATATGCACTTCAGCAGGGAATCCTTATCCTTCCTGGTGATTTCTGACATAAAAAAAGCTCCTCTCGAAAACTCAACAACACTTGGAAGGATTTTGTTGGAAAAATATTAAGGCACACACCACAAATTGGAGAAGGAACTCGACCAAAAATCACAACATAGGTTAAGATTAAGATTTTTTAGTTTCTTTACATTAGTCTATTATTATATTAAGTGAAATAATTTACAAAACACATTTTTTTTTAAAACTTAGTTTAGAAATCAACTTGAATTTTCAACATCTTTTCGTAATCAATTTTTTGCCAATATTTGGTGATACAAAAGAAGAGTTAAAAAAATATTGGTAGAGATACTTTCAGTATAAAGAAAAGCAAAAGTATCAAAGCCTAAAAATCTCACTATTTTTATATGATTTATGCATTCAAATCACACATTGAAGATAATCCATATTTGTTCTGAAAAATGGAATGAAAAAATTATAAAAAAGCCCTTAAGGTGAGGTAGTCTCATAACACACAGCATCCATTCAAGATTACTGCTACCTACAAAACGTCAAAAGACTACAAACAGTTACAAGAGAATATTACGAATATAAATAATATCTAAAACGTTTTGTAGACTTTCAAAGCGCTTTCCCAATTTTTAAGTTGTTTTAGAGCACGCGTCATATTTTTCGGTAACATCTTCAAAACTCTGTAGCAATGTTGATTTTTATTTAAGCAGCACTCAAATGAAAAAAATGTTATTAGCATTAGATTTTGCTTACAACGCGTCGCAGTATCATAAATCACTTTCATTAATTGCCAACTTAAAACCTGAAAAAAATTGGAAACAGTTCGATGAATATTGTCGTCGAAGAGCTCAGAGAATGTGTGTACATTATTTTTAGATTAGTTGTGAAATATGCACGAAATAGAGAGGTCTAAAAATAGTAATAAAATTTTTATTGCTTTCCCAAGAATTGATTATGCAAAGATAGTGAAACATGTTATTTCCGATTTTAATTCAATTTATTTAACCATCGATTTTCTGCAAAAATCAAAAAGTCATGTTTGAGTAATATTGTTGCGAAAATAAAAGAATCGGTCTTTAAAGAGATTTTTTCTAAACACGCTTTCATAAAATTTGAAAACACCCAAATGTTTATTTTATTTAATTTTTTTTTGTATTTGGGATATTTTCGTATTGAGATTTATCAGCCCATACTTATCGCCGTAAGAGATGTGAGCATCATTAACTATGCATTGCGGTCATATTAAATAAAAACCGGTTACTTGACTTCGATATTTAAATCATGAATATTTACGAGTAGTACGCAGTAATATGAAGTTTCTCAGAGCCTAGTTTTAATTACTTGTACTTGCTATGATATGTATGTACATATGTGAAACAAATTAATTGAAAACAGCCATTTAATTTTCATTATTCCAGTGGTCGCAAGCCATAACCGCTTAACATGAGTTATCACCGAATTGTGTTGTTAATATTTTAGCATTTAAGATGTAAAGATTTGTAAATGTATCTAATTTGTTGATGAGTTTTATGAAGCTTAAAACTAATTTTTTAAAACACAGTTATGACTTTCTGAACAACGAGTGATATATATTTTAAACCTCCATCTTCTGTTTCCAAGTTTTAATAAATTTCTAATGATTTTTAAAGAATCGTTAGTTATAAAAGTTATTACCTATTATTTTAATTATCAACATCATAATAATAATATCGTTTTTGATTATCTGCAATTTACAAGCTACGAATGCTCGTAAAATGATTTAATAAAATAAAAAAAATTCGAGGCTTCTTTGAAATGTGAACAAAATGGTTAAATAAATATATAAGCAAATAATATTCTAGCAGATTATTAAGAAATTAATAACTGACATGTATACATTTTTTCATAAAAAAAATCATCAGTTTGTAAAAAAATTGATATAGCTATGGTGGCGCCATTAGTATTAAACACTTATATTATTTCTAAAATTGCGCTGAGAATACTGTGAAGGACGACGTCTTGCTCACACTCGAATTTATTAGGTACATCCAAAACGGACCAAAAGTATTTTTAATAATAAAAATCAAAAAGAAACGGAGGTGGATTCAACTTAGTAAGAATCTTCTAAAAAATCTTGTGAACTAGGTGGATGCGATATTAGATTATAGCTATCTAATCAAATCTTCCGCTGTGTCTAAAGCAATTTACGATCTAAGTCGTTATTGCACATATCAAATTTGAATGAGTTCATACACTGGGAAAAAAACATAACTCACCTCTTTGGTCTAATAAGAATTGATTTCTTACCTGTACTCAACTCAAAAAAGTGTTACAGTTTTCACCACCGCTGTTAATGGCTTGCTCAAAGAGCATATGGTCTATGTAGCGTCGTAAATTCTCTTGCCGATTTATACAGCAAAGGTATGCTTATACAT